CAGGGTAGTATTCCATTATGTGAATATACCATAGCTTCTCTATCTATTCGTTTGTTGATGGGCACCTGGGTTGTTTCCAACTCCTTGCTATTGTGAACAGAGCTGCGATAAACATGGGTGTGCATATATCTGTTTGGATGTCAGTTACAGTCTCTATGGGGTATATTCCCAGTAGTGGAATTGCTGGGTCAAATAGTATCTCTATTTGCAACTTTTTGGGAAAGTACTATACCACTTTTCACAGTGGTTGCACCATTTTACACTCCCACCAACAGTGAATAAGGGTTCCATTTTCTCCACAACCTCACCAGCTTGCTGTTCTGTTCAATTTTGCTATTCTGACTGGGGTGAGATGATATCTCATAGTTGTTTTGATTTGCATTTCTCTTAGAGCTAGAGATTTTGAACATTTCTTCATGTGCTTATTGGCCATCTAAATGGTGTCTTTGGTGAAGTGAGCAAGTAAATTCTTAATATTTTTTAAATTATTACCTTAGTGAATTATTGATGATGATTTAGGATATGTAGATAGGTTTCAAATAGATAGTCTTCAGATAGAAAGTTTGAAATTTACTTTCAACTTAGTAAATTAAAACAAGTTTTTTTTTAAAAATGAAGATAAGTGTATTAAATAATGTGTAATTTTACCACCCAGAGAAGCCATCCTTCTTAAGGAAAAAAAAAAACACCACCACCACATTTGTGTATTTTAAGAATGGAGTCTTGTTAGACACAGTGTTTTGTATTCTTTATGCTTCATATATGGGAGCTTTGGTAGCTTCAATTTTGTTTTGTTGTGTACCATCGAGTTGGAACTGACCCATAGCTCACCCTCCAGCAGGTTTTCAGAGGTAGTAAATCACCCAGGAGAGGACATTGTTGATCCTCTCCTGGAAAAGCTGGTTGATTTGAACCATGTGCCTTTGGGATTGCAGCACAGTTTCTTACTCCTAGGCCACAGTCACTCGTGTTTTAGAATGACCCTATATATAACAGCTCTGAATCCTGCTCTATCCTGAGCCAACCTTGTTGTCTCTGCACAGCTATTCGCTTTACCCGAGTCACTGAATCAATCCATCTCATCTAGGGTCTTCTTCTCTTGCACTGTCCCTCCACCCTTCCAAGCATGATGTCCCGCTCCAGGGACTGATCCCTTCTTTCAGCATGCCCATAGTATATCAGACAAAGTTTCAGAATCCTTGTCTCCAAAGAGCAGCCTGGTTTCACCCTCTCCAGGACGAACCTGTTTGTTCTCCTAGCAGTCCATGGTATGTTCAACACTCTTCTTCAGCATCAGAGCTTAAAGGCATCAATTCTCTCTGTATCATCCCTAGTCATTGTCCAGCTTTCTGTTACATAGCAAGTAATTGCGAACAGTATAATCTGGATCAGGCACAACTTGGTCTCCAGACTGACATTGTTGCTCTTCAGTACTCTGGAGAGGTCCCTGACAGCAGATTTTCACAGTGTAATTCTTTCTTGGATTTCCTGGCTGCTGGTACCAAGAGTGTTTTGATTTTCTGGCTGTTGATACCAAGAGTATTGATTGTGGAGCCAGGCAAACTAAAGCTATTAACAATCCCAATCTCTTCACCGTCTGTCCTGATGCTTCCAATTGGCCCAGGGGTGAGAATCTTTGTTTTCTTGATGTTGAGCTTCAGTCATATTGAAAGTTGCAGCAAGCACTTGTAAGTCCTCCTCAGTTTCAGCAAGCAAGGTTGTGTCATCTGCATAACGCGGGTTGTTGATTCTTCCTCCAATCCAGATGCCATATTCTTCCTCATAGAATGTAGCCTCCCAGATGATCTGTTTTGCGTAAGGAATTAATGCTTCCAACCCAAAAGTACATAGTTCATTTACTACCAGTTGCTTTGCTGGAGAAGGATGGGCAAACTGACAGTTCCAACTCCACAATACTTGCATCTTACTATATTGTGAGCTTCCCCCACCCTGTATACATGTGCATTTACATCCTGATAACTAAAAACAAAACCAAAACAACCAATCCTCAAAATCACTGCTGTCAGGTTCATTCCACAGCAGCATTGCAAGGGGAGATACCCTCCACCGATCAACAGTCAGCAACAGTCAGTGACAGGGCAGAGAAAGGGACTGGATCTACAATCAATATCCTCGGAGCCAGGAAATCAGGAGACTTATTGTATTGGGCAAGATTGCTGTCAGGGGCCTCTGAAAAACAATGATGTTAATTTGAATACTAAGTTGTGCCTGATTCAGGCCATGATCTTCTCAATCATGTGCCTGTACATCAGAGAATTGAACCATGACTAAGGATGACAAAAAGAATTGGTGCCTTTGAGTTGTGATGTTGAATGGACTGCCAGAGAACAAACAGGTATGTCTTGGAGAAAGTACAGTTGGGATGCTCCCTTGAGACAAAGATGGCAAAGCTTCATCTCTATATTTTGGACATATAGCTAGGTGAAGGGTACCTTGGAAAGGGATATTATACTTAGAAAGATGGAGGGTTGGTGAAGGAGAGGAAGACCCTCAACTAGATAGATTGATAAAGTGCCTTCAGCAGTAGGACACCCCCCCCCCCCGAATCAGTGATGATAAGAATGGTACAACAAAGGGCAGAGTTCAGTTCTGTTGTTCATAGGATCACTATGCGTGGTACTTGATTTGATAGCACCGAACTACCGCCACCACAACCCTCCATCGACTTCAAGTCTCTAAATCTTAGAAGAAGATTTCTCCCTTTAAGCCACAGGTTGATTCGAACCACAGGAGATGCACCTTTTGGTTAGCATGATGACATGCTATAGACTACACCACAGAAGCCATTACATCTTGATACTTTTTTTCTTTTCATTATTTTAGTAAAGTGGAAAATCTCTAAAAATACTAAGAGAATAATGGAATGAATTACAAAATGTAAAAATTTTGCCACATTTACTGTATTGATATTTTCAGAGTTTTTTTCCTTGGGGGGAACTAAGCTATTTAAAAGAAATGGAAAAAAGACTTACAGACATTGTAGTACTTTATTGCCTAAATTCTTAAGCATGTTCCATTAAAGGAGGACATTATTTCACTGGACCATAATACATTATGATACATTATGGTAGTTGAAAAAAATGAACAAAAATTTTAAACTAATCCAGTTCATATACTTAAAATTTGTTAGATATTACATAGCTGCTTCTCAATTTAGGGTCATTGTTTAAACTAGATGGTAACTAGTAAAGTCTTGAAAGTTCTGACATTTCAACTTGGAACTTTTCACTTATACAGATTTTCTGCAATAGTTTGAACATGTAAATCAAAGTAGTTATAAAACTTTAAAAAAAATTTAGAAAGCTCATTTTCTTGAAGGGTGATTGTTTCACAGAGGTGTTGTGCTTGTTTTAATTTTTTAATTTTTCCTTAGGTAACATCAAAGATTGTTCTTTAGGGAAAGTTGGACTGGTTAGGGGATAGGGAGAACACAGAGAATAAAACCTGGATAGAAGGCTTCATATAATCAGACTATATTTTCCTGGTTGTGGTTTGATTTTTTTGAATATAATAGAAATTTCTTTGTGTCTGTAAGTTGTTGTTGTTATTGTTATGTGCCGTCGAGTCGTTTCCGACTCATAGCGACCCTATGTACAACAGCCCTAAACTCTGCTCTATCCTGTGCCAATTGCATTGCCTCTGACACACCCATCCCGATTACCCCAGTCACTGAATCAATCCACCTCATAGAGGGTCTTCCCCTGCTGCACTGTCCCTCCACCCTCCCAAGCATGATGTCCCTCTCCGAGGACCGGTCCCTCCTTACAACATACCCGGAGTATGTCAGACGAAGCCCCAGAATCCTTGCCTCCAAGGTGTAGCCTGGTTTAACCCTCTCCAGGATGAATCTGTTTGTTTTCTTGGCAGTCCATGGTACATTCAATACTCTTCTACAGCATCACAGCTCAAAGGCTTCAATTCTTCTATCCTCCCTAGTCATTGTCCAACTCTGATGCATAACAAGTGATTGCAAAGACCATGGCCTGTATCAGGCGCACCTTAGTCTCCAGAGAGACACCGTTGCTCCTGAGTACTTTAGAGAGGTCCCTAAAAGCAGACTTTCCCATCGTGATACGTTTTTTGGTTTCCTGGCTGCTGGTGCCAACAGTGTTGACCGTGGAGCCGAGCAAACTGAGGCTGTAAACAATCTCAAATCTCTTCACCATCCATCCTGATGCTACCAATTGGTCCAGTGGTGAGAATCTTTGTCTTCTTGACATTGAGCCTCAGTCCATACTGAATGCTGCAGTCCTTGACCCTCTGTAGCAAGTGCATGAGGTTCTCCTCAGTTTCGGCAAGCAGAGTTGTGTCATCTGCATAACACAGATTGTTAATAGATCTTCCACCAATCATGACGCCACACTTCTCCTCATAGAGCCCAGCCTCTCGGATAATCTGTTCTGCATACATGTTGAAAAGGTATGGAGATAGGACACATCCCTGGCATACACCCTTCCCAGTTTTGAACCATGCGGTGTTTCCCTGCTCTGATGACTGCCTCTTGGTCCAAGGATAGGTGTCTGTAGGTAGATAGATAAAAATACACTTGTTTTCTGTATGATTAGTAAATGTGCAGTTGAAAGCTGCTTGTTTGAAGTTGAGAATTAACTTGTAGGAACTTTTTTGTTTTCTTTGGCTCAAAGAGCTCTGGTGACTTTGGTAGTAAGGAGTTGAGCTGCCAACCCAAAGCCTCAAAGTTCAAAACCACCAGCTACTCTATAAGAGAAAGATGGCAGTCTCCTTCTGTATGATTTACTGCCTCTAAAAACCCACTGAAGATATGAGTTGATTTCAACTCGATGCTACGCTACGTAACTACAATACTGTAAGAAGTTGGGGGTTACTGAATACAATCCCCCCCCCCTTTTCTTTACCCAGGAAAATTGAAAGAAAGGGCCCAGTAATTAGGCTAGGTCCTTTGACTAATCTTTTGAGTAGCTGAACTAGACAGAGATCTTAGTGTTCTTTTATAGAAGTGATCTTTGCAATCTTTTAGCCACAAGCACCTGTCCTACAAAAAGGACTTTGACATTAACTGATGTAGAGTAAGTTTTAAGATCCTGTCTATATTCAGCATTTAAATAAGGACAAACTAGTGCAAGTGTCTTAGATAGGGGTTTGAGAGGAGAATGATTAATTAGTTGTCTGCTTTTCACCTCTGGTGTCTTTATAACAACCCATATTGATTAGACATCAACACTTCTTTTCTTTCCTTTAGCATTCTTGGGAGATGGTTGGGAAGAAGAAGGGAGTCTCAGGACAGAAGGATGGTGCTCAGACAGAATCCAACGAGGAAGGCAAAGAAAATCGAGATCGAGACAGAGACTATAGTCGACGACGTGGTGGGCCACCACGACGGGGGAGAGGCGCCAGCCGTGGACGAGAGTGTATGCATGGGGCTTTATCAAAACCAGCTGTGGGTCAGTAATGTCTAGACCCCAGGGATGTGTCACTCTCTTCCTTAAGAGGACCCAGGAATCATCAGATCACCCTTTTGCTTTTTCACTGTCATTCTTCTGAGACCTTGGCATCTTTTTTATGTAGCCTTTTCCAACTATAATTATTAATTTGGCATAAAATTGCCTTGAATTTTGCTAATTTGCTAAAACTGCCCTGTAGTCATTTGGTGATCTCTATTCCCAAGTGACCCTCTTATTTTGTCCTTCCAATTAATTTTCCTTTATTTTTGTCCCCCATAAAATACATGCCATCTTTTTTTATTTTGTATGTATATAAATATATATATGTGTATTCTGTGGACATTGCTGTGACATTTTGTTGGGTTTTTGTATTTTAGTTCGAGGTCAGGAAAATGGATTGGATGGCACCAAGAGTGGAGGCCCTTCTGGTAGAGGCACAGAAAGAGGAAGAAGAGGCCGTGGCCGAGGCAGAGGTGATCAATTTGTGGTGGTTAGAGATATTGGGGAAGAGTAGTTTTAGTTCCATTAGGGGTCTACTTGATTCAAATTAAATTTGAATGATATCTAGTTACCTTAATTTTTGAGTTGTCATGCAAATACTGAAGATAGTTGTGTAGGATGCGAGAAAGAAGGTAAAGTTCTCGATTCTTTATTGCACATATTCTGTACTTGTTTAAGAATCCAGTAATTTAAGCAACAAAACAACATATGGATAGTAATGCTTGTGCTTCTATATTGCCTGTAAGAACTAATTACTTACCATTTCACAGTTGCCTCAGCTAGCTAGCAAGATGGATTTATATCAATTTCTAAAACTCTCTTTCTTTAGGTGGCTCTGGTAGACGAGGAGGAAGGTTTTCTGCTCAAGGAATGGGGTAAGCCTCATTGATCTTTGTTTCAAAAGTCTTTGATTTTTTTTGTTTCCCAAGAATTACAGTAGCATCTTAAAGGGGCTAATAATAGGTAGACATAACAAAACTTATCAGAAAGATTTGTAAACTGTTTAATCAGAAAGATAAGTGAATTTAAGAATCACTTCTTGGGGATGAGATCTGGATCTTTATCTCCGTTTTGATCGCTGTATCTACCTTTTATCTTGTTGATATATCTATGTTGTTGTTATGTGTCATGTCAAGTCTCTTGCCACTCATAGCGACCCTATGTACAACAGCCCTAAACTCTGCTCTATCCTGTGCCAGTCGCATTGTCTCTAACACTCCCATCCCGATAACCCCAGTCACTGAATCAATCCACCTCATAGAGGGCCTTCCCCTCCTGCGCTGTCCCTCCACCCTCCCAATCGTGATGTCCTTCTCCAAGGACCGGTCTCTCCTCACAACATGTCCAAAGTATGTTAGACGGAGCCTCAGAATCCTTGCCTCCAAGGAGCCACCTGGTTTAACCCTTTCCAAGATGAATCTGTTTTCCTAGCAGTCCGTGGTCCTCAGTCCTCAATACTCTTCTCCAGCACCCCAGCTCAAAAGCATCAATTCTCCTTCTATCCTCCTTGGTCATTGTCCAACTCTCTGATGCATAACAAGTGCTTGTGAAGACCATGGCCTGTATCAGACGCACCTTAGTCTCCAGAGAGACAGCATTCTTCTTCAGTACTTTGGAGAGGTCCCTAAACAGCAGACTTTCCCATGGCAATGGGCCTTTTAATTTCCTGGCTATTGGTGCCAAGACTGTTGACTGTGGAGCCAAGCAAACTAAAGCTGTGAACAATCTCAAATGTCTATAGAGATTATAATTACGCTTAACAGGTTTCTGAGGTTATAATTCTTTAAGGAAGGAGCTACTAGTGGGCTCAAACTGCAGCCCTTTTCGATTAGCAGCCCAGCATACCATTGGGGCTCCTGAGTCGGTTGATCATTGAGGAAAAAATTGACAGCATATATAGGCCTATAGTATGGGTCTAGGATTGACTGACTAGGTAGGAAACAGTTAAATTTCTGATTATTATCCTCTTTGAATTAGTAATTAGTGATGTGTTTAGGAGTCAGAGACTCATGTTTGTTTGATTTATTTATTCCCCAGAACTTTTAACCCAGCTGATTATGCAGAGCCAGCCAGTACTGATGAGAACTATGGCAATAGTAGTGGTAATACCTGGAACAACACTGGCCACTTTGAACCAGATGATGGAACAAGTGAGTTTATTATTCATTTATTTGATTCTGAGAATATAAAGAATATTCTTGAAATTAAGAGTTACATTAACAAAATAATGAAGATGGACTCTGAAAAAAAAGTTACATTAAGAAGTAGTGAAATAGATGTTGAATGTAGAGATAAGTGGGAAAAAAGGATGATGAAACTTGAATTTCTATGTACTTCTGTTTGCCATTTCACTTTATTCTCATCACTGTTTTACAAAGTAGATACTCTTTATCATAAACGAAAACTCAAAAAGACGTTAGAAAATTAGCTAGCTGTTGAGCCTAGAATATTTGGCTCTTTTCACTTTGCCCTGCCTCTGCCATTAGCTCCGTCTGTACTTGGTAGTGTCTCTGTTAGCATATCCTTTCTTTCAAAAGAGATATTCGGCTTATGATGCCACTACTTGAACAGGACCCAGAATCAAAACTATCTGTCTGCTTTCTTACATAAACATGAATATTCTTGCGTTCATTCATTTTTCAAAAAGTTTCAGTATTTGGGTAAGAAGAGTTTCTAGGCTTTTCAGTTCTCTTTATTATGGGATTTGAATATGATCGCTTTTTTGTTGATTTAGTGTCGTACCATCTAGGAGGGTATAAATGATTAGACTTGTGTGATAAAGCAAGATGTGTTTTGGGGTAATGGATATTTATATATATTGCTTTAAATAAACCAGACTTTTTAAAACCTCCAGAGTGCTTTCTTGTGAAATCACCTACTGCCTTCAAAGTGGAGGCTTTTCCCCCTCATATACAAAAGAGAAGGACTTGGTAGTAGTTCCAGAAGTTAACTCTTTGCTTCTTGATCCATTTACATTTGACTTATCCCCTTATATATGATCCTCTAGTTCAGGAGAATCATTGGCACAAACAGCTCATTGACTGCCTATAAGATGCTATACCTTAGTTTAAATGCTGCCTGATTTTCAGTCACCAAGCTGTTATAAACGCATTTTGAATATGGCTAGAAGTGTATTATTGGTAAGATAAATTTCTTGTCCAGAGTTCCTGTTAGTTAGGTTAGGCTCTGAAATAGCCTGTAATTTTAAGTCATCATCATACTTAGGAAGTTTAAAAATTGTTTTCATTTATCTCTTGATGACACTCTAGAAGTATTGGTAGCAGTCTGATTAACAAAAGTTACTGTATTTTTTAGCTGTAATTTGTTCTTGGGCATTGGCTTTGGACATTGGGGATTTGCTATTTTTGACTTGGGTCTTTAGCAAAAAGATAATGGTAGTTAAGATACTGAACTGTAATGGTTTCAGTTGTGGAGTAGAAAATCAAACATGGAGTCCTAGTCTTAGGTAGTAAGACTTATCTATCTTTAAGACAGATCTATTTGAAAAAGTAGAAATGAGTGCTTTTACTTAGTGGAGAAGGGAACAGATTTGGTAACCTAGAATAATACCTGTGATTTGTAGCTAAATGAAATATGATGCTGCTGTCATCTTGGTTTGGAAGTCTGTTGGTATAGCTTTATGCATTTCTATCATTGTCAATTTCATAATATGAGCATCCCTTCATGCATGATCTGTGTTTGTGTTTTCATGATAGTTAACTCAAAAGGTCCTTTTTAAATTTAAGAAGAAATTCAAACTTACCCTTAAAGTATCCACAGGTACGGTGGGAGTTGTGTATTGGGGGCAAATGTCCTCACATTACAAGCAAAATTTCACTGGTTGTTTTTTTCTTTCTTTTCTTTTTTGTTTCAGGACTTGATTTCATTGGGGTTGAGGGGTCAAATTATCCCCGAAAATTTGAGACTGCTCCTGGTATGATACATCCAGGCGCCTAACTGCCCCGGATATTTTTCTAGATTTTTATGAACTGAAATATCTGTGGATATGTAATTTTTATGTCTTTCTGCTTTTTCTTTCGTTTTCTATGCCCATTTTTCTTAAAATTTGTTATTTGCCATTCACATTGACTGCTTTCTGCTGATGGCATAGGAACTTTAATCCGTTCTTCAGAGCATTTCCACACTTAATACTCCTTAGTGCTTTCTCTCCATTGCCTTGTTTTTTACTTATTCCTCACTCCTACCCATACCTCCAAAACAAGTACTTATATTCTTCCATTTCATCCCAGTTGTAATCACTAGAGTGCAAAAAAACATTCGTGCATTGAGAAACAGCCTAGAAGAGACAATTTCTTAGGTCACTTCTAACTAGAATTTTGCATGAGTGTTTATCCTGATTCTGGGGATTCATGTGGCTGGATGGAAAAATGTCTATGAGAAGATTAATAGTATCCCTAGAGAGAAAAGAGTGTGATTGCAACTTGTGTAGACTGAGATTGAACTTTATTTGGTTTGGAGAACGTTGTCGTTAGGTAGTTTGGAAATTCCTAGGTAAAGTTTTTTTATTTAGTTTTTGGTTTATGGTGCAATTTTAATGTGATCCTATGAAAGTCATTACAATGAATATACTTTATTCAGGGGATTGAGTTTTTATTATTGAATGGTTAGACGAATTGTATGAGTTTTGTTGGTGTTAAAAATGGTTTTTTCTAGCTCTGGTGGCCTAGTGGCAAAAACTGCACTGCAATCCCAGAGGTACATGGTTCAAATCCACCAGATGCTCTGCTGGAGAAGGAGGGGCAATCTCCTCCTGTACCAGTCAGCTCCGATTTGACGGTACACACACACAAAAATAATAAAATTTTTTTAAAAAAATGTTTTTTTCAGGGATAAGGAAATAATTCTGAATGCTGTACTTCATTTTGTTATCCTTAAGAATGAGGTATTATGTATCATCCTAGAGATGAATGATACAGTGTTGTCTCTTCTACAGATAGGTTCTTACTCTTCCTTCAGTCCCTTTGGTTGAAGGGGAGAATTCTGGATCCAAAATGCCATAAAAAAGATTATTGTTGTTGTTATTACATGCTGTTGAGTCGCCTGCAACCCTATGTACAGCAGCTCTGAGCCCTTCTCTATCCTGTCTCACTAATTCCGACACAACAACCCCGAATGCCCCAGTTACTGTATAAATCCATCTCATCCAGAATCTTCCTCTCCTGCACTGTCTCTCCACCCTTCCAAGCCTACCAGTCCTTCTCCAAGGACTGGTATCTCCTGGCCAGGTGCCCAAAGTATGTGAGGAAGAGCTTCAAAATCCTAGCCCCCCAGGAGAAACTTGGCTTCACTCTCCAAGACAGACTTAGTTGTCTATCTAAGAAAAATTAGATATTCCTAAATATTTTTATGCGTGCACAAATCTAGCAGAAAAGGAGGAATGTGAGAAGATGATGAGTTTATGACCTTCTCATGCTGTCCGAGCTTTGGTATACCAACCTGAGAGTGAACTCTTCCATTGTCTGTTCCATGATGTTGGCAGGACAGATTTCACAATTTGTATGACTGATATTAAGATGATAGCTGTTACTCATTTTCATTTTCTAACTGATCAAGTGGTTGCCAAAGAAATTAGATTACTAAGAGGCTTTCTTTACAGCTTTTATCTAGCTAAACCAGTAAGATCTATAAACTTTACTTCTGATTATACACTTTTTCATTTCCAGTAGAAAATAATACTCCTTGCCCTCAGTTTGGGTTTGAAGGCCTTAGACTGTCCTTTCACTAACCATCATATGGCATCCATTGGTGTTCTTCTATCACTGGTGTTATCTCTCTTCAAATTGCCTGTCATTTTGTCTAATATAAGATAAATAGGTATAATTTGCATGTTCTGATTGAAATTGGCTGCTGCCATGTCACTGAATTGGCAACTAATTTTAGGGACTGAAAGCTTTAAAGAGATTACCTGAAGCATTAGATCTTTCTGTTTATTTCTTTTCTCTGGTTATGGCTATATAACAAAAACTAAAGTAGCTGTAATCTTAAAGCCCTGTTGCTCTGAGGTATCTTTTTCCAAGGGATCTTTTCCCCTACTCTGAAGCCCAAGAATCTCTTCTGGTTACTAAATTCTGGTCACACTTATGGCTGCCAAAAATATTAATGCATTAATGTGTTCTGTGTATGTGCTTTGTAGTGACATAAAATTACTTCACTGTTTTCACTTTGTTTCTAGGTGCATGGAGGACTGCAACCGAAGAGTGGGGAACAGAAGATTGGAATGAAGATGTAGGTATTCCTAGGTCATTTCTCACTAGAGCCTTCTATCCCTAAGTAGTGTTTAGGGATAAAAAATGGGTATGTTTCTACCTCTCAAAATTCACCCTTGAGATTCTGACCCAAAACTTTTACATCCAAAATAGTGTTCTGAGCCAGAACATTTCACATATGTTATATGAAGGAGACTGGGCATGAACAGGACTCTGGAACCACACTATGGAAAGGGCAAGTGCATTGTGTAAGTCCAATACCTGATTGTCGGATTTATCCCACGAAGAGATGGTGGTTGGGTAGGGCAACAGAAATGGAATGAGGCAGGTTATATGTTGAATAACAGCTGCTGGTGGCACAGATAACAGAATTACCACTTCTAGCTACTGACTTTTGGTTGGCATTTAAGCATTCAGTTACTGGCTTGGAGGTGGGTACAAAGTTAAAGTTACTTTGCCAAGTTTTCAAGCTTATGGTGTGGTGGTTCAGGAACTCTTTTTATTTACGTGAAGCCCAACTTTATCGTTTGTAATTGAGATCAGTATTGTGTAAGAATTATATGTCCACCAACTTGGCTCAGTTTTGAAACTTTATATAAGGGTGGCACTTATAGAACTTTTCTGGACTCACTTGAATAATATTTGAGTAAAAGAACCTGATTCCTGTTCACAGGAATGTGCGTGGTGATTTTCCTTGATTTTGGATGAAATCCTACTTTAACATTTTAAAATTTTACTTTTTTATGTATATGCAGGCAAGACAGATTTGTGTGGTAAGAGGAAATGACATATCAAATTGCTTTGGATGGCTTGCTAGGGTTTAAAAATTATAGTAGCATCAACATCCGTGATTTTTATTTGTTATTATAATTGAGCTAGACTGCATTTATGATTATGAGTAAATTTTGAGATTTTGTTTGCGTAAGCAATGTTCAGAAAATGATGGGTGTGAGGTGCTGAATAGATTGTTTATTTTTAGAGAAATATTAAAATGACAGAAAATTGATTTACTATAGTTGCTTACTTAATTTTGGTATTTAATAGTGGAGAGACTAGATATGAAAAATTAGTAAGACCTAAAAATTGTATATAGTTAAAAATCATTCCTAAAAAAAAAATTCATGAGCCCTTACTGCTTCGAAGCTAGGAATGAATTTTTATATCTTTTTTTTTAGCTATAGTCTGTCCTTTCTTTGAGGGTAGTGGAAGATAAAATACTTGGATAGAGGTGTAGGTTGAGAACTATAATGAGAAAATACAATTTTCTCTACATATCTTTTTCTGTTTAACATAATATTGACCAACCCGTAAGTGCATATCATGTGACTCCATTATATTTTACTGGATTCCTTGGCTATACCTTCTTACTGGATAACGTCATTAAGTATATACTGAAGAGATTTAGAAAAGCAATCCTTTTAGGGTAGATAGCTTTTCTTTTTAGGGCGTTCCCTTTTTTGGGTACTGAATTAACTTTAACTTTGCCAGATTTCTAACTGTAGCCTGCTTGACACCGGGAATGACTAATTTCTCTGTCTTCCAGCTTTCTGAGACAAAGATATTCACTGCCTCTAATGTGTCTTCGGTGCCTCTGCCTGCGGAGAATGTGACAATCACCGCTGGTCAGAGGTAAGTGTGGAAAATTGTCTTATTCTGGAGAAATTGACTGTGATAGCTATAAGGAAGATTGGCATGGAATCATTACGGATTGTATGGTAATGTAAAAATGTTAACTAAACGGCATTAGGTTTTTCTTCAGTTGATACTTAATGACTGCATATTAAAGTTTTGAAGCTATTTTTTTCTTTCCAGTACAGCTTTTTATTTATGTGTCAGTATCTCTGGCATTGATTAAAACACAGCACAGTATCATTTATTTTGTAGTAAGTCAGGTAAATTAGAGCCAAAAGTAGAAATCATTTATTTCTGAATTTGCAGTATTATTTAGTTGCTGCTTCTCTTACTTTATAGTAAAAGCTTTGTCTGTTGAGCCCACTGCTTGTCAAGACCCGCCCTCCTTAGATTCTCAGGATCAACGTTAATATGCTTTTTTTAGAATTTAAACCTTGGTATTGGGGTCAGTATTTCTTCCGGAAATACTTTTATTCCTAGACAATCTCATTATTTCTAAGCATACAAGCTCTTGCCTCAGAAAGTTCTACAGACTTTGTGGTATTATTAGCTATTACCAGCGGTAACTTGGAATTTTAGAAAGCTGAAAACCTAAAAAACAAAACCTAAAACCTTTTGAAGATGCCAGTGTTCTGGCATAGAGTTTCATTGATAATAGTACTAAAATGATGAAAAAAAGATTGTAAATTTTGGCTCAGTAACTAACTAACATTTGATAGTTCATTGAATTAATACTTTCCCAAAAATAAAGATTTTCAGTCATCGTTATGGGTTGGTAAAATTAGTGTAACTCAATAGGATACGTAGCTGTAGTTAGGTGCCATTGACTCAATTAAAACCTGTAGCGATCCTGTGAACAACAGATCTGAACCCTGTCCTATCCTGTGCCATCTTTACACTTTGTGACACACTGCAGCCCATTGTAGCAGTCACTGTGTCAATCCAAAAATAGCTTTATACATGATGTGTTTTGAAAAATTGAGCATTTTAGGAATTTATGGAGTTTTTTCCTCAGTCTGCTTAGAAGCAGTAAGTGCTTCATTCCGATTTAACTGTAGTTTAAGTCAGGTGTTGATGAAGTTATCATTCATCAAGATCTCATCCATTCTCCACTAGAATTGACCTTGCTGTTCTGTTGGGAAAGACACCATCTTCCATAGAGAATGATTCATCCAGTTTGGATCCATCTCAGGCTCCTTCTCTTGCCCAGCCTCTGGTGTTCAGTAACTCAAAGCAGAGTGCTATGTCACAGCCTGCTTCGGGGAATACATTTTCTCATCACAGTATGGTAAGTATAAACTTGATTTAGCTTAATCAAACTTTCTTCCTTTCATCAACACACACACTCACACTTCTGTCTCTCTCTGTCTCTGTCTTTGTCTGTCTGTCTCTTCCCCCCAATCTCTCCCCAATTCATTCTTTCCAAGGATAGTCAGAGGCAAAACACCTTGTTGTGCTCTATGGGAGAACTTGACTTTGGACAGACAGGCTCATAAAAAGCAAAATCTTTTTAAGCAAGACTGTTTTACAGATTGGCTTTGCACTAGAAAGCACTACTTTGTAATTATGATGATGATGATGATAAATTTCTTTAATCTACTTCCTCAAGATGTCTTTTAGGATAGTCTAAGATACATAACTTTTCAGTAGGCTGATAGCTTTATATAGTAATGGGGTGAGGTGAGGAAAAATTTCCATCTTTGTTATCTAATGCAGCTTTAACAAATTGGTGGATATTATTCTCACAGTTTAAGAGTTCAAATTTAGGGAAACACTTTATTTTAGCTCTGCGGGAACATCAGTGTTTCCTTTCAACATCTGTGGGCCTAATACTTGATATTGAGTTGGAACCTTGGAATTGCTGGTGGATTCAAACCACCGAGAGGTTCAACCTTTGTGTTTTCAGAGCAGCTCCCTATAGGCTAGGCCAGCAGAGCTCCTGCATTGACATGTTCTTGTTACGTACCTTTAAGCCAGAACCAACTTCATAGATGACCTTCTAAGTGGGTTTTCAAAAGCAGCTCTGGTGGCCCAGTAGTAAGTATCTGTGCTGCAGTCCTGAGGGCACTGGGTTGGAATCTACCAGCTGCTCCATGGGAGAAGGATGGACGGTCTCCTCCCCTGCTGGAGGGTCAGCTGTGGATTGGTTCTGACTCGATGATGCACAAAACCAAAATTGCACTGGAGGAGATTGCCCATCTTTGTCCTGCAGAGCTGTTAGTAGATGTGAACCACCTGCCTTTGGGTTGACAGCACAGCAGAGAGGCACCAGAGCTCTCTCAGGAGCATAGAGGTCAGGATGTATAGCACATTTACAAATTTTGGACAGTAGTTGTAATCAATACTTGAGCCAAATTGACATGTAGTAGTATTAGGAGGATACACTTCATTCAATCTGACATCTCTGTCTTCTCTTTCCCACCTCTATGTCCTTGCTACCCATGTGCAAAAGATGGCATCCCAAAAGTTTTTAATCATCTCTTTAAGTTTATTGTCTTTATCTTCTAAATTCATTTAAATCTATGGATGAGACTCTAGGCATATTCTATCCAGGGGCAGAATGCCTCTTCTTTTGTAAACCTATGTAATTTAAACTACAAATTATTCTTTTTTAAAGGTACACTGGTAGAATAAACAGAACGTAGACATTTCCATTTCAAATGGGAGAGATTGTAGGAGGAAAAGGGATACTAGCCAAAATGCAATTCTCAAACAAAGCAGAACAATTTTCATTAGCTCTTTTAAGGCTTGAAAATAATCTTCTGGTCTCTGTGACCATTTACGAAGTAGTCTTTTCCCCTCTATACTGTAGATGTTAGGCATGCCTCCTGGATTCTGTTCGGAGGCCCTTTTCCCCAGGGCTTTAGCTCTATCCTTATTTCTTAGTCTGCATGGCAGACCACTCCCTTGGCCTTGTTCTTTTTTCCCCTTGGTTATGGCAGCTCTACCCTATCAGGTTTAGGCAGCAACACTAGCTCTTCCTCCTGGCACTTCTAAAAGGCAACTTAATGCTGTAGAGTCCCATTTAACAATGATCTTACTCTTTGAAATTTTGCAGGCTATTATTCTGCCCTTTGAGACCACAGAGTTCAAGTACTACCATTTAGGATAGAAACAACCCTGCTTGTCCCTGCTTCTTGTCACTCCTGCTTCCTGATCCCTTGGTTTCTTCATCACTGGAGCCTTTTAGGTTGGCCCAGCTTTTATCTTCCTCTAGCAAGTGTTCCATAGGTCTTCTGCTGGTAAGTTCCTGCAGGCAGTCCACTACTCCAGCAAGCGTTGGGCAGAAGCTTTCTTCATCTGTGGGTTGACTCCTCTGCTATTTTAAGTGTGTAAGTCTACCAGTGGTCTCTTGAAGGCATTTTAGACTTTCACTGTTAGGCATCTTAAAACTATACCCATTGCCCAGTTCTAAAAGTGCTTCTGCATTTTACATAGCTGTTAAAGCTACAACCCACTTTTTTCATTGCCTGGTGCTGTCATGCAGAAATACCACAAGTGGTTGACTTTAACAAACTGAAATGAATTCTTACAGTTTAGGAGGCTACAAGTCCAAATTCAAGGTGTCAGTTCTCAGGGAAGGCTTTTTGTTTCTGTTAGCTTTAGTGAAGGTCTTCTTTAAACATCTGTGGGCCTAGCATTCTTTGAATGTCTTCATTGTGCCTGGGAATTAATCTTGCCCTGGGTCTAGGAGGTTCTTAGCAGAGGAGCACTGTGTCCAGAAGACACACTTTACCTTCTGGCTATTCTTTCTTGGTGATACTGTGGCCCACTTTAACTTTTATTTTCAAGTGTTTAGTATGTGCCAGTCATGTATTAAGTGCTTCTTTTAATCTTCAACAATGTCAAGGATACTACTTTTAGTCCTCTTTTGAGCTAACGAAATTGAGGCACAGAGACATGAAAAGAAATTTTTCCAAGGTTTTGATGGTAGGATTTGAATTTAGACAGTCTGCTTAGCTATACTTAGTGATTTTTTTTTTAAACTTGTGTGATCCATACTCACTCCTGCAGTTAGTGCCTTTCTGAATGGTGCTGAACAGAGTTGTTTATTGGGGATTTCTCTAATTCTTCTGTTGTTCTACAGGTGAGCATGTTAGGAAAAGGATTTGGTGATGTTGGTGAAGCTAAAGGTGGGAGCACCACAGGCTCCCAGTTCTTGGAGCAATTCAAGACTGCTCAGGCCCTGGCTCAGTTAGCTGCTCAGCATTCTCAGTCTGGAAACACCACCACCTCCTCTTGGGACATGGGCTCAACCACACAATCCTCGTCACTGGTGCAGTATGGTGAGAAGAATAGGATGTGGTTTGAAGTATTTGAGCATTATAGTCAAGGGGCCAGTGGGGATAGATAGTGAAGACTGTGCCCTAAAATGAATTGTGAGTGGGGCAGCCAAGTGGGTAGTTTCCCACACTGATTCTTCCTGGCTTGATAAGAAAGTATGTCCAAAGTTGAGAAATGATAAGAAATTTGAGACTGTATGTCTAATTAACCCTTGCATTATTATTACCTATTGTAAGTAATGCATAATTAAAATCTTCTGACCTTGGAATTGTGGGTTCTTTTTATATTTATTTTCAGGGTTTAAAAATAGCATTGCCTTTGGAAGAATTCATGAATTTGGCCATGATAAAACTTTGTATTTAAACATGGGCAATTCCTAGATTACTATCTTTGATTTGATTCATTAAGAACAAATATTATTTAATGAAAGTAAGTGCAATAAACAACTATTTTGTGAAGTCCTGATTTAACTCATTGGTGTAGAGCAAGATGATAGTATTACCTTAACGGTCATCAGCACCTCTTCTCTTGCAGATTTGAAGAACCCAAATGATTCAACAGTGCACAGCCCATTTACAAAGCGCCAGGCCTTCACTCCATCTTCAACCATGATGGAGGTGTTCCTTCAGGAGAAGCCACCTGCTGTGGCCACCTCCACAGCTGCACCCCCACCTCCCTCTTCTCCTCTGCCAAGCAAACCCACCTCGGCTCCACAGATGTCTCCTGGATCTTCAGACAACCAGTCCTCCAGCCCGCAACCAGCTCAGCAGAAACTAAAACAGCAGAAGAAAAAAGCCTCTTTAACTTCTAAGGTACTTGAATTTTAGATATAAGGCGAAGAGGTGTGGGGTTTGGGGATTTCTGAAGTTAGAGTTTGGAAATTTGAAGGGATGTTTTTATAAAATGAATTAACACACTCTCTGTTCCTTCTTTTTCTCTCCTTTAGATGCCTGTTCTGGCTGTGGAGATGCCTGCCTCAGCAGATATCTCAGGGCTAAACCTTCAGTTTGGGGCATTGCAATTTGGGTCAGAACCTGTCCTTTCTGATTATGAGTCTACTCCCACCACGAGCGCCTCTTCAAGCCAGGCTCCAAGCAGCCTATATACCAGCACGGCCAGGTAAAGGAAACATCAAGCCATTTTATCTCTTTTATTAGACTTTTATTACTATGTCTAAGTCACTTGTTGGTTTCTAGAAATCTGGAGAGGTCAAGATTCTATTTAGGTAAAGGAAAAAGGCCACTTTTATTTTGTTAATTTAACTATATATAAACTTTAAAGTGTTGTTACCTTAACATCTAGGTTTTATGTCACTTCAAATAAAATATAAATATCCTTTAGCTAATTCTAGAATGTCCAAGAACAGTTCTGAAAGATGTATACTGCACCTGTGGCACAGGGCTTTGGTACTTGCCACAACTAAAAATGCTGGTGGCACTTAATTCACGCCTAATCCAATGACTGTGTTCTAGGAAGGAGATGGTAATGTTTTATGTTATGTTATGTTATAGGAAGAAAAGAATGTTACTAGTAGATTTTTTTCCTACTTCCTCTGATAATCTGTCCTGGAGAGTCATTTTAACGGAAAATCATGGGAAATTTAAGGGACTAGACTTGTTTTTCCATCCTGGGCTCTAGGCTAGAGCTATTGAAACATAATAGCCACCAAATCCTTAATTTTTTAGCTTTCTTCAGTAGAGTCTTACCAATAACCTTGAATCTAATAGCTCCTGGAGCTCAAAATTCATTGAAATGAGTATGATTCAAAGTGATGTTTGTGTTACGGTATCGTGAAAGGAGCTGGAATAGTGTATCCACTGATCTTTTAACTTTATAAAAATAGCAGAATATAAAGGAACAAGAGGTTTTTCTTTTCCTTTAAGGCCTAGAGTCAGTGTGGGTTTTTTAAGTTTGTTTTTAAAAAACAAAAAAAAACAAAAAAAAAACACCCCAAGACCCATAAAATAGCACACTTCCATCCTTAGTTTAGACCTCTGGTGAGGTCAAGGTTCAGTCATAGCTGTCGAGTTAGACCTGACTCATAGCTGACCCTCTGCTGGTTTTTCAGAGGCTTTTGTAAATTGCATAGGAGGGGATTGCTCATCTTTCTCTCAAGGAGTGGCTGATGAATTCATACCACCAGAGAGGCATGGCCTCTTGGCCAACAGTGCATCTCTGTTAAAAACTATGCTACCATAGTCCCCCGGCGGTATAGGATGTAGAAATTGCTCATGTTGTCAAGAGGAAAAGTATGGCAATATTCTTTTTGCTTTTGGAACAATTTTTAATAGTAGATCACCACTGTCTTAATAGCAGTGGATCTTCTTTATTTAATTTCTCTGAGATTTTTTTTTTCTCTTCATTCTCAACAGTGAATCTTCATCCACAATTTCATCTAACCAGAGTCAGGAGTCTGGTTATCAGAGCGGCCCAATTCAGTCAACAACTTATACCTCCCAAAGTAATGCTCAGGGCCCGCTATATGAACAGAGATCCACGCAGACTCGGCGGTACCCTAGCTCCATCTCTTCATCACCCCAAAAGGACCTGACTCAGGCAAAGGTAGTGGTATCATTTGATGGTATTTATTAGTTAGGAGAATAGTGAGCAAAGTTCCTTAAATACTAGTGTATTTCTTCTTGGCAAAACCACTAAGAAACCCACATGCTGATTGAGAAGCTGGGCCTGGGAAGAGTGCATCAGAGAGAAGGAGCTTATTTCTGTGGTTGGTGGAAATTGAAAAGAAAAATTCTTTTGTACAAGTGTGGTGGTTCAGAGCCAGAAATCATTCTCTTTACACTAACTATTTATTGTTTCTAGTAGAATTGGCCTTAAGCTTCTCTCTCCTCTTTTTGGAAGATCTATTTGCTAGACTTTTTTGTGCATATCAGTAGACCTCACCTTGCTGTATCTTGGATTGGTGAGGGGGACAGCATATGCCACAGGAGAAATGGAGTGACAGCCAAATACAGCCAGCTGAGTATGTGGTTTGGCTGAACTGTCTTGCTCCTACATCCTGCTTCAGGGATCATTGAATTTATACTTTGAGCCATTCTTGCACCTTGAGTATAGGATATTTTTAGGAGTATGGAGGTTTGCTTTTCATTACATTTAGTCACAGGAGGTTTGTCTATTTTCCTTTATTTGCTGTCTGTTAAGTTTTGTTATTTTGTACTTCTTTGATAAATCCACATTGTGTTACTCCTTTGGTAAACTTGTAGTATCTTTCCGAAAGATTTACTGACTGAAATTAATCTTGGTTAGTGCTGACCTGTCCTATTTACTTGTATCTCTGTTTCTTGTACCAGAATGGTTTCAATTCTGTGCAGGCCACGCAGTTACAGACCACGCAATCCGTTGAAGGTGAGTGTTTCCCAGGCTTTTTCTTCATCCTTGGAGTATTTTTCCCTCCCTCAGTATTTTTAAATTTTTCTGTAGTGAATACAGCTTCCTCAGTGATCAGATTGTTAGGTTGGTTATAATCTTATCTTGATTCTACCCTGTGCCTTGATCATAGACCACCCTGTTCTCCACCTTTTACAGTGATTGTTTCCATTGGCCACATGAGAACAGTACTGTAAAATGGTTGGAATTTTCCTCTTTATTTAAAAAAAAATTTTTTTTGTGTACCATCAAGTCGGATCTGACTGGTACTGGAGGAGATTGTGCCTCCTTCTCCAGCAGAGCATCTGGTGGATTTCAACCGCACACCTCTAGGATTGCAGTGCAGCTTCTTGCCAATAGACCACCAGAGCTCGCCCAAATTTCCCCCTTTTCTTAAAAATAAATAAATAAATAAATAAATACAAAACCAAAAAAAAAAACACCAAAGACATTTATGTACACCTATGTTTATTGCTGCATTGTTCACAATAGCAAAGATGAAAATGGAAGCAATTCAAGTGCCCATCAACAAACGAATGGATAGAGAAGCTCTGGTATAGTCACACAATGGAATACTTTGCAGCATTGAAAAATAAGGAACTCATGAAATATTAAACAAAATGTGTGACTTTGGAGGACATTATGCTGAGTGAAATATCTTAGTCACAAAAGGATATATACTGTGTAATGCGACTGTTAGAAAATAGGATTGACATCGGGGTTGGGAGAAAACTAAGAAAAGGAGGGATAAATAATGTACATTGCATTGAAACAGATGAGGGAGAGAATTCTTTAAAAGGAATATATGATTAGGTATTACTTGCATGACAAGAGTCCATTATAAGAGCTGCATAGTAAATTGGACTGCAGGGTGGATTGTATAACAATGAAAGAATTTTTTTTTTCCCTCCCAAAGAGAAAAGTGAACTGGGACAGGGAGGAAAATGTGCAACAATGAATGAATGGTTTCATTAAAAAAGACATTCAGCTTTAAAAATCACAAATGGTTCTCTATACTCATCCTTCACTTCTCTTGGTGAATCAGTGTCAAAACAGAGTGGATGCCTATCTTCCTTATTTCTAGGTGCTACGGGCTCTGCAGTGAAATCTGATTCACCTTCCACGTCTAACATCCCTCTTAATGAAACGGTATCTGCAGCATCCTTACTGACAACAGCTAATCAACATTCATCCTCCTTGGGTGGCTTGAGCCACAGTGAGGAGATTCCAAATACAACCACAACACAACATAGCAGGTGATTTGGGGTGAGGGTATAGATTGAGATTGGTGAGTAACAATAACAGAGCTCTCTGGTTCTATCTTCCTGCCTCTACCTGGTAGAGACCACATTAGCCCTGCTTTTGTAGTAAGCATGTTACCTAAAAACTTTGGGAAATGCAGAGAAAGTTATTTTTCCTTTTGAGTATCTACTCTTGATCTAACTGGCCATTGTACTTAGTAAATGTTCTTAAGCCTCTTTGGCCTCATATTCTTACCCCTCCCCCTGGTCTTCATTGAAGCTCTAGGTCAGGTAGATAACTGTACCACCTTGGCTGATGGCAGCTTCTTTCTCCTTTTAGCACGTTATCTACACAACAGAATACCCTTTCATCGTCAACATCTTCTGGGCGCACTTCGACATCCACTCTTCTGGTAAGTGTAATGCTGTAAAAGAGGAAACATAGTTCTACAGTATTTAGTAGCTTTCCAACCATATGATTTTCCCAAGAGGGGATTCTTAAAGATTTCTTTATGAGATAGATGTCAGACTGGGGCCAAGGTCAAAGGGAGAACAAAGGATTCAAGGACTGTCTACATGTCAACAATGGGAGTGAACAGCCTCCATGTTCTGATGAAATTACCATGGAGTGCCCCACCCTTCCCTCCTTAAACCACAATGGGATGTCCCTCTCTTCCCTCCCTAAAAACCTTTACTATAAAACCTGCCCTAATCCACTTTAGGGCGAGGTATTTCCCTGGTCTAACCCTCTGCCTGTTTCTCTCTCTGCAGACCAAGGAATGCTGCCCGGGAGACCCCTTAATAAAACTTTAGCTTCCTTTCTTTCTCTGGTTCCTTCCTTGAGTCCTTGGCCTTATGTCCAGTGCAGAGACCTAACAATAGCAAAATGGTAATTGATCTGAGTTTGCAGAAAAGGAGCAAAAGTCTTTATAGAGGGGAGCCAAGAGGTAGAGGAATCCAGAAATATTGCAGACTTGTGATCCATTCCCAAGAGCCCTGGAAGTGACATTCTGGGCTCTTTTTATCTGACTCTCTTCCCCCTACACACCATAACCAAAGATGGATAAAGCTTTGTATGCTACAGTAAATTCCGTAAGACATGTTTCCTAAATTGTGTAGGTTTCTAATTAGTGTTGGGCACACTGTACATGAATTAAAGAGCATAAACAGTGTGTACCTCTGATATCTTAAAGGGAAGTAGCGATGAATAAAAACATTTAGGCAAAGTATTTGTTTTTCTTATGACGTATAATAGCTATTTGTAGCATCAAGTTTAACTTGCACAAGAAAGCAAATAACTTAAAAAGACCCATTTTGGGCAAAGATAGCAGGATTGCTGGGTGCTTGGAAGAATATTGAGGATGAAGACTTTCTAAGGAATATCTTCCCTTAAATATGCCATTTTAGGGTTAAAATTGTTAGAATTTGCACACACCCATCCCTCTTCCATGAGATGGTTTCTTAGGCTGTGCTAGAAAACTGTGGCTATTAGAATAGGGTTTTTTTGTTTTGTTTTTTTAAATCTCAGTTGTCATCATCTACTTTCTGGCCACTGTTAACAGTCAAAGAGCCTAGTGTTTTGTTTTGTTTTTAGGGTGCTTGTCTCCATTTCCCCTGCTGCCCTCTGAATAGCATGATGATGTAAAGTCTACTCTTTTTTTTTTTTTTTTATTTTGTGTGCATGTACCGTCAAATCAGATCTGACTGGTACAGGAGGATATTGCGCCTCCTTCTCCGGCAGAGCGTCTGGTGGATTCGAACCGTGTTCCTCTGGGATTGCAGTGCAGATTCTTGCCACTAGGCCACCAGAGCTCCCCGTAAAGTCTACTCTTAACACCTTGACATATTAATCTAGAATGTCTAACTGAAGAATATTTTGTAATTCTTTCAGACTACTTTTTGACAGCAGACACCCCAGTACTCTGCCTTGCCACTGGGAAATTAGCATGATGATAAATTACTTAGCATCTCAGCTCATTGTTCTTGAGTTAGAACTGACTTATAGCTGACCCTCTAGTGGGTTTTTGAGGCTATAAATCGCATGGGAGGAGATTTCTCATCTTTTTCTCTAAGAAATGCTGGTGGATTTGAACCACCAGAAAGAGGCAAGGTCTTTGGGTGAGTAGCACAGCTCCCTACAGATAGTACCACTCTTGTTGTTTTGTACTGTAGAGTTGGAACCAACCATAGCTGGACTCTCTGGCAGGTTTTCAGAGGCAGAGGCAGTTAATCGTTTAGGAGGAGATTGCCCACCCTTCTTCGCGGAGCACCTCATGGCCTAGAACCACTTGTCTTTTGGATTGCCACTAGAGCTCCCTTACTCAGAAAAAGAGACTCTTTATCTTTGCTGACCTATGATGCTAATTGGTATTTCCTTCTTCCCTCCCCCATGCATCATCCCCTTTTTTTGAAGCACACAAGTGTGGAGAGTGAGGCGAATCTCCATTCTTCCTCCAGCACTTTCTCCACCACATCCAGCACAGTCTCTGCACCTCCCCCAGTGGTCAGTGTCTCCTCCAGTCTGAACAGTGGCAGTAGCCTGGGCCTCAGCTTAGGTAGCAACTCTACAGTCACAGCCTCAACTCGAAGCTCAGTTGCTACAACTTCAGGTAATATTGAGTAGAATGTGGATGGCGTTTCTCTGAGATGAGGAGAAAAATAATTGTATACGACAGGATAAAAAAAATATAATATCTCTTACAGGAAAAGCGCCTCCCAACCTTCCTCCTGGAGTCCCGCCATTGTTGCCTAATCCATATATTATGGCTCCTGGGCTTTTACATGCCTACCCGGTAAGTGAAACTGAAGGGTCTTCTCCACAAGACTAGGGTGGTAGGAGATTAAGAATACATCTCTTTACATGTCGGTTTTACAGATAATACTTCTATAGACATATGTGTTAATAGACTATTTTCTATAGTGCAGCAGAGGGCAAAATTCTGAAACCTTCTTAACCATAACCAAACACCTTGAAAAAATGAGTTGGTGGCCTGGGAGCACAAGAGTGTCTTGGTCAGAGTCACAAAGACAATGTTCCGTGTACCATTGTCATGAAGTGGTGACTGGAATCTTAAAAGCTTGTGAATGGCCATCTGACTGCATCTATTGGTCTCAAAGAATGAAGAACACCAGAGACTATTACTATATACTCTTTGGAATAATGTACCATCTGAACTTCTATCTATACAACCCTTAGGCCAATCAGAACTAGATGACATCTGGTTACCACTGGTGACCACTCAGGGTTACAGCGCACCTTCTTGCCACCAGGCCACAAGAGCTCTGGGCGTGCGCGCGCGTGTGTGTGTACCATCGAATCAGATCTAACTGCCACAGGAGGAGATTGCCATTCTGGTGACCACTCTGAAAGGGATCACAGTAGAAGGTGTCTGATAGAGTTAGGGGAATGTGGAACAACATTCAAAATAGTCTAGGCTAATAGAGATGGGTGAAACTTTACTCTGTGGTCCTTAGTCATCCTTCAAGCATGAAACAGAAAATATCCCCACAACTCAACTTTCAGGCCTAATCAAGTGATGAGTAATACCAGGAAGCAACATGTTGTTTTTGTTAATTGCCATTGAGTCGAGTATAATCCATAGCAATCTTGTGAACAATAGATCTGAACTTTTCTCACACTTCCTAACACACTAGAGCCCATTGCAGGTCACTGTCAATCCACCTGGTCAAGGGCCGTCCCTGACCCTCTGCCGTTCCATGTATAATATCCTTCTCCAAGGAGCAGCCCTTCCTAGCAACATGCCCAGTGTATGAGGCAAAGCCTCATCATCCTTGCCTTCAAAGAGCATTCCAGCTGCACCATCTCCAAGACATAGCTGTTCTTTCATTCTTTTTTTTTTTTTAAATTTTGTGTGTGTACTGTCAAATCGGATCTGACTGGTATAGGAGGAGATTGCCCCTCCTTCTCCAGCAGAACATCTGGTGGATTCAAACCATGTACCTGTGGGATTGCAGTGCAGTTTCTTGCCACTAGGTCACCAGTACTCCCTAGCTGTTCATCCTTTAAGCAGCATAGTTCTTAGAATAATTGACCATACATGGTCAGTAGGGCAACATTGGCCCAGACAAAGCTCACAAGGCAGGAAGAAATGAGAAAAGAGGAGCCAGGAAACACAAGGAAGATGTGGAAAGAGTACTGTTACAATGTGAGGATGGTAATTGGTGTTAGAAAATATAATGTCTATGAATCAATTCAGGGAAAACCAGTTTGTAAACTTTCATTCAAATCATAAGAAGAGTCAAACAACAGCAGCAGCACTCAAGAACTGTGATTATTCAAAAAGTACTGTGAAATGGGAGAGTCCAATGGGCATTATGCTGAGTGAAATGACTTAAGTCACAAAAGGACAAATACGGCATGAGACAGCTATTATCAAAATGAGACAATAACTAAAAATATGTATGAGTGGAAGGGGGAGGGAATAATCACTAGCATAGCAGAGGTTAATACGTCAGTGGGAGGTGAAGGAATAGGAAAGATGCAATGTGGTCTTGAAGAGATGGGGTGATAAAAAGCATAGATTAATAGTAATTACATAAAATAAGGTACATGAATGAAATATATATGAATGATTGTATGAAACAGTAAATAAAATTAAAAACGATAGAAGACAATATAGTCTTTAAAAAGTTGAAAAACAAGGGAGCTCTGGTGGCCTAGTGGCAAGAAACTGTACCGCAATCCCAGAGGTATGCAGTTCAAATTCGGGGCAATCGCTTGTACCAGTCAGATCCAATTTGACAGTACACAAAAAATAATAACATTTTTTTAAAAAGTTGAAAATAAAAAAGAAGCTGATAGAACTATTTTTTTTTCTTGTTGTGTACTGTCAACTTGGATCCAGCTGGTACAGGAAGAGATTGCCCCTCCTTCTCCAGTGGAGCATCTGGTGGGTTCACACTGTGAGCCTTCGAGATTGCAGCAGAACTGTTTTTTTAAATAGCTCTTTCAGGTGCAAAAAACAATTAAGATACAGAGTAGTAAATGAATGATTACAATACATTTAGATTTTTCATTTATTAAGAATAAAACTACAGGAGACTTGGTTTGCTTGTTGTATTGCTGCTGAGAACCAAACATGGTCCTGCCATGGCAGCAGCTCCTACAGCTGCCTGACAATGTCTGTATTTAGTAGAGGAGCCGCCACCTGTGCACAACAACAATAAAAGAAAGGAACCGCTTTTGCTGCCTTAAGCTCATGCTGCAGATAGATAGCACCACTAGCAATGATAAAGGCAGTGGGGAAAATGGGGGGCTAGAACCTTGTATGTTCCTCATCCTTTATCCACAGTGGAGACATGGAGAAGATCTCTTTGAATGCACAACATGAATCAGGGCAGAGTAGTTCAAGGGGCAGTTCTCATTGTGACAATCCTTCCCCACAAGAAGCTGAACAAAGTATGTTTGGTAGAGAAATGATCCCAGCAGGGACCATAGCTCTCAATCATAAGGGGAAGCTACAGAAGGAGAGAAAGAAGTTGAAGCTTTAAAGAAAAGTGTGTTGTTGTTGTTGTTACTGTTATGTGCCATCAGGTTGCTTGCGACTCATAGCGACCGTGTGTACAAGAGCACTAAAAGCCGTTCTATCCTCGCTGTCTCAAACACACTCATTCCCACCACTCCACTCACAGAATTGATCCATCTCATCGAGGGTCTTCCTCTCCTGCGCTGTCCCTCCACTCTCCCAAACATGATGTCCCTCTCCAAGGACCAGTCACTCCTTGCAGCATGCCCAAAGTATGTCAGACGAAGCTTCAGAATCTTTGACTCCAAGAAGCATTCCGGCTTCACCCTCTCCAGGACAAACCTGTTTGTTCTCCTTGCAGTCCATGGTATATTCAACACTCGTCTCCAGCACCACAGCTCAAAGGCATCAATTCTCTATCATCCCTATTCATTGTCCAACTCTCTGATGCATAGCACGTAATTGCAAAGACTATAGCCTGTATCAGGTGCACCTTAGTTAGTCTCCAGCCTGACGTTGTTGCTGTTCAGTACTCTTGAGAGGTCGGTCCCTCACAGCTGACTTTCCCAGTGCAATTTGTCTCCTGATTTCCTGGCTGCTGTTACCAAGAGTGTTGACTGTGGAACCAAGTAAACTAAAACTATTAACTATCTCAATCTCTTCACCATCCATACTGATGCTGCCAATTGGCCCAGTGGTGAGAATCTTTGTTTTCTTGATGTTGAGCTTCAATCCATATTGAAGACTGCAGTCCTTGACCTTCTGCAGCAGGCACTTCAGGTCCTCCTCAGTTTCAGCAAACAGGGTTGTATCATCCTCATAACACAGGTTGTTGATGATTCTTCCACCAGTCCTGATGCTACATTCCTCCTCGTACAGCCCACAGCGTCTTGGATGATCTGTTCTGCATACAGATTGAAAAGGTATGGAGACAGAATACATCCCTGACAGACCCCCTTCTTGATTTTGAACCATCCAGTGTCTCCCTGCTCTGTTTTGACGACTGCCTCTTGGTCCAAGTATAGGTTTCACATTAGCACAATCAAATGTTCTGGGATTCCCATTCTTCTTTGCTTGTTGAGATCCACAGTCAAACGCCTTTGCATAGTCAATGAAGCACAGATAGATATTCTGGTATTCTCTGCTTTCTGCTAAGATCCATCTAACATTAGCTATAATATCCCTAGTACCACAACCTCTTCTAAATCTAGTCTGCACATCTGGCAGTTTTCTGTTGACATGGGTATTTGATTGGCCTAGTAGACATTCACCCTAAGGAGTGTTCTGTTTCTTTAAGCTTGAGGAAAAGTCAAAGGGGGATATACTCTGCAGAGTTTCTTTAGGTGTTATTCCAACTCTCTTAAGTTCTCATGTTTGGTTTTAGGACTAAGCATCTATATTGGAAAACAATTGAGCACACCAGCCAGCACCAATGAAGGGAAAGAAAAGCCCCAGAAATGTGTGTGACATTATGTTTGTGTGATGTTACTGTCACATTAGTTTATTTGAACTTGAGACCATTGCAAGCATGACCCAACTTACCACCTTGTTTTATGTATCCACGTTCCAGTAACTTGAAATCCAGTATTTTTTTTCAAACTCTGTTGAGGCATTTTACTAACCTCATTCCCTTTTTGGCTTGTAAGACACTTTAGAGTAATCAAAGGCCAGTATATTCCCCTGACATCTTTCAGTTCTTAATCTCTGATAGTCTTGCTGTCTCTGAATTAGTTTTAACAATCCATATTCCCCGGCTATATTATTGTTGTTAGTTGCCATTGAATCAGTTACAACTCTAGTGACCTTATGAACAGAACCTTGTCCTATCCCGAGCCATCCTCGCCATCTCCGATATGCTTGAGACCATTTTTACAGTCACTGGGTCAGTCCATCTTGTTGAGAGTTTGTCTTTCTGATCTTCCACCTTCCCCAGCATGATGTCTTTTTCCAAGGCTGGGTTCCTTCTGACAGCATGTCCATACTTTGGTATGTGAGAGTGAGTTTCACCATCCTTGCCTCTAATGAATACTCTTGATTGCATTTCCTCCAAGACAGATTTGTTTGTTCTTTGGGCAGTTGATGAGCTTCTCATCCTTCTTCATTGTCCAGCTTTCAGATGCATAGGAAGCAATTTAAAATACTATGACTTGGATCATATACACCTTGATCCTTAATATCATTCATCTTAAGTATTTTGGAGAAGTCCTTCCAGTGCAACATGTCATGATTTCTTGACTGCTGGCCATACTAGTGCATGCGCGCGTGTGTGTGTGTGTGTGTGTGTGTGTGTGTGTGTGTGTGTGTGTGTGTATTTTTCATCTCTTTGCTGAACATCATGTATTTAGTACCTATTATTTTGGGTGGCCTAGAGGCAAGAAGCCACACTGTAATCCTGAAAGCCTGAGGTTTGAGGTAACCAGTTGCTCCCTGGGAGAACAATGGGCAGTCTCCTCCTGTGCAGTTAACTGCCTCTAAACCTGCCAGAGGGTCAGCTATAGATCAGTTCTAACTCTACAGTATACAGCAATAATCAAGAAGGGTAAGGAAACCCTAGTGGTGTGATGCCTTATGTATTTTTCTGGCTAACCAGAAAAGTTGGCAATTCCAATCTTTTAGCCATTCTGAAGGAAAGAGATGGGCAAACTCCTGTAAAGCCTCAGAAATTTTATGGAGGACTGCCATGAGATGGAACTGGCTGTACAGCAATGGATTTTGGTTATATAGAGGATGAAGGATACTTATTAACAACCACAAATTACCTTAGTACCCATATGTTGAAATAAGCAAAAGTAAAAGGTGAATTTTTTGAAAGTAGATCACTTTTAAGCCAGATTTTGACTACAAGAAATAGGTAAGAAAGAGTATAGTATAAAACCTATGTCTACCTTATTGCTGCCCAAAGACCTGCCTAGCTTAATTAAACCTTCAGGACTTTTTATTAATCACTTAATATTTATTTCTTCCCTCTTTACAGAATTTAGAATAAATAATCGATGTTTTTCTAAGAATGAATCTTGATTTATCTTGCTTTTAGCTCCTTTTTATACTGTTGAATGTTTTTGGTTTTCAGCCACAAGTATATGGTTATGATGACTTGCAGATGCTTCAGACAAGATTTCCTTTGGTAAGTATACAAGATAAAGCTTTGAAAAAGAAAGCAATCTTGAAAATTAGTGTTTAATTTATTAAGTCATAAACTTTTTTCCTAATCCTTTCATACATATATTTTTATTTAGCCTTTTCGAGACATTTATTTTCTCCTTTGAATTTTTTGTGGAAACCTTATGTTTTCAGTAATGGAGGACATTTTGAATTATAATACTGATTTTTATAACAGAGCAACACATAGATCTGTAGGATTTCTCCCACTGGAGTTTGTTCATTTTCAGTTTCACACTTCAGAATCAGGCTCAGTTTTCAGTTTTATAGGACCCCCACCATATCCTACATGTCACAAAAGAATTACAGTAAATTAAAATAAAGGCTGTTTGGACAGTGGTAACTTTTTAATAAGTTACTTTTATTACTGTTAATAGCCCAATAGAATATTATAGGGTTCTTAGGATGTGTACTAAATGTTTCACAGATAATTTAATTTCAGTTGGAAAGATCTCTTCACTCAATAGACTAAGGTTGACTTAGCCTACTAGGAATGTTACCCAGAGTGTGAAGGGCACTGCTGGTCCGGATGGACCTAGCCATGCTTTCCAGTGAGCATACTTGTAGACCTTGCCTAATTCTGCTCATGACTAGACAAGGGGGACAGTGTATGCAAGAGTAAATGGGAGTTTATGCCGGCTCTAGTCAGCTTTATCAGTGGCTGGATAAACTGCAGTACTCCCAACATTTTCCTGTTTCTCCTGTGATGTTAATCATGGTAGAGAAGGAATGGCATTTAGTCTCTGCTCTTTTATTTCTGTCTTCTAGGATTACTACAGCATCCCATTTCCTACACCCACCACTCCGCTGACTGGGAGGGATGGTAGCCTGGCCAGCAACCCTTATTCTGGTAGGACTGGAATGGGATTGAACAAAAGGAAGGTGTATTGGGATTATTGCCAGAAACCTAATGAGTAGTAGGAATTGAGGTCTTTCTAGAAGTATAGAATGGTTGTGATGACTTAGGTTGGCAAGTCAAAAACCCTGCTAAAGATGAGCATGTGGCAGTTTTTTTCCTTTTCATTGTACCTTTTTTTTGTGATTTCTGGATGACATGGATTTGGTTTCACAGATTTTCTCCAGCTTCTCTCAGGATGCCCTTCCTGCACTCATCTCTGCTCCTTTACCCTAGTCAGTGACAGTTTCATTGCCCTGCTAGGCGGTAGACCTTTTTTGTGCCTGATTTATCTGTCACTGTCTTTCATTTCTAGTATTCTTGTTATCTCCGTCAACTGAAACTGACTCTATACAATTGATCTATACATGTATATGTAATGTTTTAATGTTTATAAAATGATCTACTTAGGAGGTTGGGAACTCATTTTTGGAAATTCAGCACACAAGTTGTGACTCATGCCTGATGCTGTATTTTTAGAATTGTTCAAGTCCGTCATTGCGGGTTGTTAATTGTGAAGGGTAGGAATGAGTAAGACTGATAGTGCTACAACATTGCATAGTTATTATTAGTTAGTCCTTGACTAGCACTCTGCCAAGTGTGTGCTTAATCGTGTTAGAATAGTATCAGAGAAGTATAATTCTGAGGATTGAACTTCAACCAGTATTCGAATGGAATCTGAACTTGAAGTTAGTTTTACTTTGGGCTGAGGGGTGAAAGAGGCAGATAAATAAATTGAGCCTCTTCTGTCACAGGTGACCTCACAAAATTCGGCCGTGGGGATGCATCCTCCCCTGCCCCGGCCACAACCTTGGCCCAACCCCAACAAAATCAGACGCAGACTCACCACACCACGCAGCAGACATTCCTGAATCCGGCGCTGCCTCCTGGCTACAGTTACACCAGCCTGCCATACTACACAGGGGTCCCGGGCCTCCCCAGCACCTTCCAGTATGGGCCTGCTGTGTTTCCTGTGAGTACTTAGCCTTGCCCTCTACTGTGGGTAGAGCGCCATACTCTTGGATGTACTTCTTTGAAAGCAATAATGGATAAGAAACTGTTTCTGACCTGGGAGAGGGATTGGGATTGGTGAAATTAAGATGAAGATTATCTCTTTTAAGAATTAGCCAGATGAGTAATGTGTTACCATACTGCTTTGCTTCTCTTACACACACCATTCATTCCCTGCTACCAGTGCAACTAATTTTTGGGCCTCAATGGTAGATAATAGAAATCTCAGTAGGGAGTCTATATTTCACTAAGCTAACTTTGACTAACCTTAATCAAGATAGGTAGCCATCATCAATTCTTGATGTAGAATGATGGGGCAGATAATGCCCTTTTGCCATTTCACTGACTTTCTAGCTTTTGGTCTTCAGGTGGCTCCTACCTCTTCCAAGCAGCATGGTGTGAATGTCAGTGTGAATGCATCGGCCACTCCTTTCCAGCAGCCGAGTGGATATGGGTCTCACGGATATAACACTGGTAAGTTCATCAGGACCTTGGCTGTTAGTGGTATCTCTAGGATAATATGCAGCTGAGGTTCAGGGGAGAGGGTTGATGTGGGTGTACTGTTCCATGTATGGCTGTTAATACTTTATTGACTTGATTTTTAATCTGTTTGAATAGCAACAACAGAAGAGCTTGATACAAGAACTTATGTCCCCTGTGCATGATAGGAAATGATGAGATGTGTTGACTATTAGAATAATAAGTTGGTGGTAGGAAATAGGACAAAGGGCCCCATTAAAGGTCAGTAGAGGCATGTCTTAATATGTGTGGCACTGATAGTATTTTCTTAAAATAGAAAGGTTAAGCAGGTTTTTAGTTAGCAGGTATGTTAGATTTGGCTTAAATCTGTTTGTACTATTGCTTTCTCATGTGGCTCCCATTTTATTCCCTAGCTAAAAGATCTAAGAAGTGAAGAGAAAAGAGTAGACATAACTGCAGTATAGTGAAAAATTAGGCTGGTAGAGTTGTACCTTTAGTGATTCTCTCATTGATATGGCTGGTCTTTTTGCAAAGTCCTTTGTGCAATTGATGGCAGAGAAGGAAATGTAGAGAGCATCTGAATGAGCACTGGCTAGAAATATGTTTCACCTGTCCTGGCTCCCATACCTGATACCAACACTCCACTTTTGGAGAACAGGGAGTGAGAAAGGGACTTAGAATAAAATAAATCCATCTCCTTTTCCCAGTGATCTATAAGTGACTATAGGGAAGAAGTTAGATTTGCTAGCCACAAAGTTCAGGTTGCCCTTGAAAGTATAACAGTTTTGTATCACTCAGTTACCCTTTCATGATGATTTGGATAGTGCAGCTTCTGTGCTCTTTGTGTGGACTCCCAAGTGTGTAAATTGCTCCAAGCTTTTAGGAAGCTGCCCGAGTTTGAGCAGCCTGAGCTTTTATGAGGCAGTCAGTAGAAAAGGGACATCATGCTAGGAAAGGAGGAGAGTCAGTGAAAGAGAGGAAGACCCAGACCCTCAGTGAGATGGATTGAGACAGTGACCACAGCAATGGGCTCAAGTGTGTTAGAAATGATGAGGATGGCACAGGATAGGACAAAGTTCAGATCTGTTGTTCATAGGGTCATTCATTATGAGTCTTAGACCTGATTCCAAAGCACATAACAGCAACAATATATGGCTTAAAGTGAGTCAAGATCTAAACTAAAACCCTGAAAAGCCCCATTGAGATTTAGCTGAGACGCCTTTTAACCACACCACTCAGTAAGCAAGGTCCACCCACTCTAATCCTTTTTGGGGAGGGGTGGGGTTGATTATAACCTTTTTTCTGCCCATTCTGAAACCGGCAAGGTTTAAGTGTTAGCTGAGGCAGGTTTTAAGAATTTTAAGAGGTAGGTAATTAATACATAAGTATATGGCCTGATTCTGGAAACTTAGTTTTTTATTTCTATTAAGACGTCAAGAACCTGCTAAAATCACCATTTTCAAATCCCTAGTTCCCAACCCCCACACAGTGCTCTTGTCATCCCATTCCTTAACAATCTCTAAATTCATTTATTTTTATGTATTTGATTCCTTTTAGGAAGAAAATATCCATCCCCTTACAAGCATTTCTGGACGGCTGAGAGCTAATTTGGCCCATGGCTGGGGGCTATGTTTTGTGTGTGTGTATAAATTTGCACTGAAGTCTTGTTTCAGAAAACAGACCACTGAGGAGAGCCTGCTGAGCTGAGGCCATTGCCTACGTGGCTTGGGGAAATAAGTTGGTGGATACCTTCTGGGCTTTTGAACTTGCTCCTCACCAATTTCCCTCTCCCCCATGTGTCTGACCCTGTCTTACCCATTTCAAGTGGTGCAGCACCTCCGAAGCATCAATGCACACACCTGCTGTTGCTTTTGATTTCTGGAAGGCATGTAGTTTCAACTTGTAACAAAAATATTTGTAGTCTTCAATAAACTGTGGTATTTCTTTAGCTAACTCTGGCGTTCTTTCCGTGCATGTCTTTCTGGACAATAGGAGCCAATGTTGTGCTGTGGATGAAGGGTGGAGGGTGGTCTTTTCCTTCAAGCCCAAGGATAGCCAAAGAATTGGTTAACTTTTCAGAATGTGGTGATTTTTATTAAGACTGGAGGTGGGTGGGGGGAAGGAAACAGCCTCAGTTTCCAGCCTATTGATTGGTTGGCAAAGAAGGCTATTTATAGAAAATCTTTGCTAATTATTTTTCCTCATTTTCCCCATGTAGATCTTCCCTTTGTATTCAACATAAGCAGAGGGGTAAAAAAGAAAATACAAAAAGTTCTGGTGTCATGTCATGGTGAAAGGCAAAAAGAGATAGTGGTCAGGACTGTTTTTAGGGAATTATCTTCCCAAGTCTTCTCAATTCTGGTTCCTAAAGGTCAAGTCACTGAAAGATCTGATAGTAATTAGCGACCTGTTAGTTGATGAATCAGGCTCTGTGGAAATTGTGCTAGCCTGGAACATTGTTCTTAGCCCCTTAATGGCTTTTGGGGACTGTGGATTATGAGTCGTTTTGCACTTAAGGGTGTAGCTAAGGATGTGGGAGAGATTTGGTCAGACATTTTCTTGTCTATGGACATTTTCCTCCCCACTCAGTACAGCTAGTATACCATCATCCTTTTACAGAGGTTACTGGGACAGTGAACTTACCACTTTTCATTAATTGGAAACTCAGGTATTTAGCTTTCCTTGTATTTGTTCCCAGCCCTCTGGAATTATTTTGTCCTGTGGAGTGTAACCAACTTTCCCAGTGACTGCTGTGCTGGAAGAAATTGGTTCTTGCTTCCTCTCCCTGTCATCCACCTTGTGTTGGTATGATCATCACTATTTGGGGTGGGGTGGGGCAGATAAAGGAAGTTGATGTCAGAAGGAAGGCAAGAGGAGCTCTGTAGTCTTACGATTCTTTTTTTTTTTTAGGGTCTCTGATAATTTGACATTATTCAGGCTACACAAAATACTCTTTTTTTTTTCTTCCCTCTGCATTTTCAATCCCTTTTACCCTGTATGAAAGATAAAGCTGCCAAACGAAAGCTGATTTTAGCTAGCTAACCCTCTGGAAAGACTTAGACCAAGTAAGGGTACACTGGACCTACAGAACTTTGTCTCTACCACCCAGCTTTAAAATCCAGATAGCCTTTTCTCTTAGCCTGTTTGCAGAATATCACCAGTGGATGTCAACAAACTGTTTAAGTTTCTACAATAAATTGTTAATCTTTTTTGGTCTGTCTTTTAAAATATTCTGTATATCCTATTTCATCTTCCAGTCTTGCCACAAAAACCTCATTAGCTTAGCTTTTTCCATAACTGAGCTCATGTTTTAAAGTTATGCCTATTATCTAGTGATTTGCCAGATGGCACCTGGGGTTTGAAAAGGGGTAAAAATAGCCCCATTAGCTCCTTAAGAGGTTCCCTTATTTTTTACTTCAGTGCCTTTGAGTGTAGAGAATGTTAGTGTTTTGGAGATGAGGAAAGACGATATTTTCTCATGTTCTTTTCTGTGGTCAGTGTTCTTTCCTTTCTCCTGGTGTGTATTTGCTCCTCCCTGGCACTAAATGGAATTAAGATGTGAGAAGGGTTGCCAGGATAAGATGTCACTTGTATTAGAAAGATACTGAAGAGGCTGTCCTGAGTGGGCTTTGGGCTTACCTTTTAGAAGCTGTTATTTCCCCTGTTGGGAAAATTGGGGTTCCAGCCTTGAATAAGTATCTCAAGTTTGAAGGAGATTGCTGTTGCATTCTGGGTAAAGGGAGAATTCCTCATGTCCATTTTAGTTACTTAAGTAAATGGTTTTAAAAACATATTCATTAAAGTGCTGCCAGTAGCAGAGAGCCATGGATTGTGCCCTGAGGGAAGAGTACGCTGAAAGGAGGTTTGGGTTTTGGTTTGGTGGTTTTTTGGGGGGTATTTTGTTTGTTTGTTGGTGTGTTCCCCCCTCCATTTTTATCTTCATGTAATGAGTATATTTTTCAAAATTTAACCTATGCTTTAAATTCCTAGTCAAATTACATAAATTATCCTCAAATCTTTGCATAAAATTTCTCTGATACTCAATTATTTATCCCAGACTATTCCCCAAGAGTGGACTGTAGTATGTATATTTTAATTTGTAATAAAAAACAGAGGAGAACCCAGTAAATAGAGTGAAGTACTTGAATGATCTACAGACTTGTGTAATTGTGTGACTTTTATTTGAAGTGTACACATTTTAAATTATAGTGGTAATAAAGAGTTTGATTTTTAATAGGAAACATGCAAGTTGAGGTATGAGCTTTTACCACACGTAGAAGCTGATGCTATAAACGGAAAATGACATTTGGATTTTGTGTTCCACCTAAGCTGTTTGTATGAGACAAGAAGCTTTCTATTCTTCTCAAACATTTTCATTACCCACTTGTGCTTAGGCTTGAATTGCATAAATGGAAAGTCAGTTTTGTATCAACCCTTCAAATCTAAAGTACATAGTCAAGCTACTCCAAAATACTGGTAAAGTTAGGCTGAGTGAGCTGAGAATGAAAACTGCTCTTGAGGGTTGAACTGGACTATTCTTAAGTATTCTTTATATGGTGGAGGCATGGATTTCAATTCCTAAATTGTCTTTTCATAAAGAATTACATCTTAAGGAACATAATAAAATTCGGTGGATTGATTTTAAAAGGATATTAAAAGATCATTCCTATTGGGTTTTGTCACACAAAAAATTTAAAACTCTGTATGCTAGTGAGGTTTGGCCATATCCCTTTTCTTCAAAAATAGTACCTCATAATTGTACCTGCTCATATACCTGAGAAGGACACAAGAACTGTTAGGCAGTCTCTAAGCCTTGAGCTCTTATTCCTTAGGATTGACCTGAAGCTGGAAAAACAGATCAAAATTTTGTTGCAGTGATAGAGCTAGAAAGGCTGAAGCCATAACCACCTCCCAGGTTTAGAGGCCAGGTAGCTAGCTGAGCTAATCCTCATGTCTGTTTCCTCCTCCCTCAGGTGTATCAGTCACCTCCAGTAACACGGGCGTGCCAGATATCTCGGGTTCTGTGTACTCCAAGACCCAGGTAGGTGCCTGGCTCTGGACAGAAGTGTTAAAAAAAGTTAAAAAAAAAAAAAGAGATGGAGGACATGGAGGTGGAGCTGCAATGTTAGGAAACCTAGCCTTTTAGAACATGACTGGTTTTCTTTAAACATCACTATGTCTAAAGAGTTTCTAGTTAGTGCTCTAGGGGGAAAAATACCCCCATGAGAATTATAGTAAGGTATGGCAGATTGTCATGTGATACACAGTTCTGGCCTTTTGCCTGACTGCTCCCAACCTTATTAAAACATTCCAAGAGAGAGAATGGAATGAAGGGAAACTAGTTTTATTGTGAATAAATCTGTAACAAAGGATGGGAAATCAGACAATCCAGTAAGGTTATATGAGTGGTCTATAGGCTTGTGTAATAATTTGTGTTACTTTTATTTGGTAGCGAGTACTAGAGTTGTGGGGGCAGTGTTTCAAGGTCAAACCTTCAGCCTCTGCATACTCATTTCTTTTGAATACTCATTTCTAATTTCTGTCTAACTTGAAGGTACTGTAAGTGTTGCTAAGAGGTAATCAGGAAAGTTCACAATGGTTGATAGGACACTGGAGATTTTACAAAGTGTTTTCTTTCATTCCTTACAACCATGAGATCAGTAGCATCCTTTGTAATACCGTGTATGCTGAGACATTGAGTAATTTGCCTGGGAACATTAAAAGGCAAGGCTGGGACTCAGGACCAGTATCTAACTTGAAGTGCAGTTTTCTGTGATCCCATTGCTGCTTTCTGAAGGTTAGGGAGTTTAGACTTGGAATTTCCATTGAGTTAGTTTGTTGATCCCTTTTACTCTCTCTTCTCCCATCCTCCTGGATAGCAGTCCTTTGAGAAACAAGGTTTTCATTCCGGTACTCCTGCTGCCTCCTTCAACTTGCCTTCAGCCCTAGGAAGTGGGGCCCCCATCAATCCGGCCACAGCTGCTGCCTATCCACCTGCCCCCTTTATGCACATTCTGACCCCCCATCAGCAGCCGCACTCCCAGATCCTTCACCATCACCTGCAGCAGGATGGCCAGGTAAAAACACTTCCCCTTCTCTCCCTTCCTCTTCCTTCCTGTCCCTTAAAACTGCCTTCCCTTTCCTTCTCTTGCCCTTCTTCACCACTTCCTTCACCCAGTCCCTCTTCAGTGCTAGCCATCGGCACACAGCACATACAAACACAAGCGTACATAACACAAGTGGCCAGCAAAAGAGATGTCAGAGAAGGGGTCATACACCTCTGTTGCCCAATTCTTTTGGTGCCTTTCTCCTCCACCTCCTCCCATGACACAGTTGTGTTCATCCCATTAGATCTGGTTACACTTTCCCTCTTATCCTCCCAGTCTTCCCCTTTTCCCTGACATTATAGCTTTCCCTTTTAATGGTGGAGTTCTATTGTCAAAGTTTGTCCCTTTATTTTCCATATATCCTGGTTCTGCCTCAGCTACCATATTTGCAGATGATTCTCTGTTGCCAGCGCCAGCAGGAGGAGCAGGTAATGAAACTAAAATGATGATATGCTTGAACCCACTCCTTTTCAGTCCCCATTTCACCTCCACAGCTTCAGGGAACTTTTTAAGAGGAAAGAGACTGCACGGTCACAAATCGGGATACACAAACACAAACAGCTCTATGACCTCCCCTTCCTTTCTCCTTTCCCTTTCCTTAATACCTTTTCTTTCTTTCTGCTCTTCCCTCAACTTTGGAAAACACTTGGTTATTGGAATCAGAAGGATTATTGGGCAGCATCTGAGACTTCAGACTGTTTTCTTGCCTTGCCTGTAATGGGCATATTGATGTAATACGTGGTAGAAGTGGGGAGCTGTGGGATGATGCAACTGATTTCCCTCCATCATTTGTGGCTGGGGAGCTGGAATAAGATCTTCCTTGCTTTTAAAGACAGAATTCAATATGCAGGCACTCAGGGAGCAATGAAAATGAATTGATTGATCTCTGATTTCCAAGAGATCATAATTCTCTATATAATTTTCCCAAAGCAATGGAATGTGGTAGGGTGGTGGTGAAAGGTGGAATTGAAAATGAATAGAGCTATCTTGTTTTCAAAGATACCTTGCCCTCATTGCATCTTTGTGCTTTAAGGATAAAAATGCCTGCTTGCCAGAGAGATTCTGTGAGCTATATTTAGACCACGACTTCTCATCTTCATAGTCTCTAAACAAAGGGAATAGGAAAATTCACAACAACTTTCTTACTGCCACCTGAAGATTTCATCCATCTGTTCCACTAACTAGACACACCTTTTTCCTCCCCATGATCCTCCCATTCCCCTGCAGACGGGCAGCGGGCAACGTAGCCAGACCAGCTCCATCCCGCAGAAGCCCCAGACCAACAAGTCTGCCTACAACAGCTACAGTTGGGGGGCCAACTGAGGTCCTGGCCCTCCTCTCCTCCTGGTCCCATCTTCAGAGAGGGCTTCTCAGCCTGGCAACTATGGAAACAACATCAAAGAGAAAAAGGAATGTGGGGAGGTGCTGTTGCCTCCCAGTCCTGCAGCCCACCCCATGCCTCAGCTTCATGTCTGTCCCATTCCCATACCATCCTAACCCTGTTGTATGTATTATAGGATTTGTATTTCTTTTTCTTTTTTTTGTTCCTTTCCTCTTCCTCTTTCCCCTTCGCATTCAAGATTATGAAACTTTGCTGTGGGTCTTACCCTTCCTTCTCCTCCTGTTCACCCTGGTGGTGGTTAGGTGAAGTGGGAAAGGGGACCCTCCCAAATATATATCAGCCCAACAGCCCTAAGTCTCCTCCTTTATTATTAGGAAAACAACAACAACAACAAAAAAATGGCGTCATGAATATGAACAGCTTTGTCAGATGAATTAGTTGAAGTGTTTTTTTTGTTTTTGTTTTTGTACTGTGTCCTCAAATTTAATGGATTAATGTGTCTTGTATATATATAAAAAAACAAAACAAAACCTCTACATTCAGCCTCTGCCCATTTTTGCTCCATCTAGGATATTCTGTCTCGTCGATGACCAGCTTGGTGAATAAGTATTAACTGTACCAACTGGGCCTTCTCTAGCAGGCCCTGAAGGCAGTGAAATAAAATGAACTTTGCCCTTAACAACTCCTCTGACCTTAATATCTTAGTATCTTGCCCTTGAGGGGATTCTCTTCCCTTCATCCCTAAAAATCTCATAGCCTTGGGTCTGGAAAGAACTACCACAAGTCTTCATTTTCTCCAGGCACTGCTAACATAACAGGTTTCAGGCAGTGAAGGGGACAGGAGATTTGAGTAGAAAGAGTCTTAAAAAGAACTGAACATCTTTGTGGGGCGTCCAAGTATAACTTTGACAAGTCCAGGCAAATAAATAGAAGGAAGTGAGAGCAACATGCTCTGTTGGCTGGGGCTCCATCTCCTTCAAGTTGCGTGGGCTCATAGTGACCCTATATATATAGTGGATTAAAATGCTGCCTGCCCTGCACTGTCCTAACTGTTGCTATGCTTCAGCCCATTATTGCAGCTACTATGTCAATAATTTGACTGAGTCTTTCCTGTTTTTTGCTGGCCTTTTACTTTACCTAGGAAGCTCTGGTGGCCTACAGGGCAGCTAACTCCAAGGCAGGCAAGTTTGAATCACAGAACTGTTCCACAGAAAAGAGATGGGCAGTCTCCTCCCATGTGATTTACAGCCTCTGAAAACCCTCTAAGTGTCAGCTGTGAGTCTTTCAAATGACCAGCACCCAACAACAGCAACTACCTTACCGTGTGCCATCTTCCAGGGACTGGCCCGTCATGTTTGGTGCTGTCCAGTCTAGCATGATTGATAGATAGTGACCTTCTGAACAACAGACCTGAACCCTGGCCTATCCTGTGCCATTTCATCATCTCTGACACACTGAAGCTCCCTGCTGTACTCATTGTGTTAATCCATCCCATTGGAGGTCTTCCTCGCTTGCTGACCCTCCACTTTGCCAAGCTTCATGCCTCCTAGCATGCCCAAAATACAAAGGCTTGCCAGTCTTGATAAAAAACATTCTTGCTATAAAAGTGTAATATTCTTGAGCAGTTTCACAGTACACACACCCCTTAGTTGAGCAAGGATAGTATACAACAACAGAATACTTACAGCCTCAAATCCATTCTCCCCTCCCAGGACACTAGTAGCTCCTCTTCCCTTGCTCACATATCCTGTAGCTGCTGATGGCAAGCAATGTCGGTTTAAGAAAAAGTATCCTGGTGAGGTCTGGTGGCCTAGTGGCAAGAAGGTGTACTGCAATCCAGAGGTGCGCGGTTCAAATCCACCAGATGCTCTGCTGGAGAAGGAGGAACTCAATCTCCTGTACTAGTCATATCTGATTTGACGGTGTGTGCGCACACACACCACACACACACACACACACACACACACACACACACACACACATATAAATAAAAAGTATCCATATGGCACATTTCTTGGGGGCTGGAGAGGAAAAGTGCAAAGTTCTTAAGTCCCCGTATGTCTTTATTAAAGCAGAGGAAAATATCAGGATTTCGCCAAAACATGCTATCTGTTTTTATAATTGGACAACGTTAATCAAGCTCGAGAAATAGCTTCCAAGAGTAGGGGAAGGTCCGCGGACCGGCTCAGTGGCGCTTTTGGGTTGCCCTCTGGTGTCTTAACCATAGAAAAGCGAGTTTAATCTTCGCAACGCTTTTCTGGACTGAGTTGGTCAGTAGGGAGACACTGGTGGGAAGTGATAATTGGAAAATAAGTCAGTACCACGGCGACGGCCACGAGAAACTCTTCAGAGCTCTGAAAAGACTTTCGAATTCCAGCTAACTTCCCATAGTCCGCTGTCCACTATTTTACGACAGTTCCGGAATTGCTTTTCGGCAGCATGGTGTGACGTTTCCCTCAACTTTCCGACAGTAAAGCACTAGCTTTTCTGCCGGTCTGATTGGGTCGTGGGTGGGTTTCCAAGGTTCGAGTCCCTTTACAGGAATGAGTCTCTTTGACCTCTTCCGGAGCTTCTTTGGGATTCCTGGATTTCGGAGGTAAGAATGGGTTCAGGTCGCATAAAGGGGAAATTTGGCTCCTAACACATTAAAAAAAAAAAAAAATACGTCGTCTTCCCCGCTCTTTCAACTGCGGAGAAAACCAAAGTCGCAACTTTTCAGAACTCAGCCTGCAACAGTGACCAGTACAGTCGTTAGGAAGAGTCAAAAAGGCAACTTGAGCTTTTTTTTTTTTTTTTTTTTAACCGGGGTGATGCAACAGGCGCCCAAGCGGGGAAAATAATGGGGATCTGGGAGAGAGGACTATGAGCAAGTAAGCTTAAGCTTGGGAGAGGGGGAGGGGCTGGGGCTGGTGGACTCCGAGGCAAAGGTGGAGGAGAGGGGGATAAACCTCAAGGTGAGGGTCGACCTTAATTAGAACTAGAGTACTACTAGCAGCTGTTATATTTTGATTGGTAGCTAGTCCTCTTTGCTCTTGTCTCACTCTGCCACCCATGAGTAAATTTTATGCCTAAATACCTACGGATGCTAAAATCTTAGTGGTCAATCTGCCTCCATCCCTAGCCACAGAGATAACTTTTTTGGAGGGATGACTCGAGATGAAGAGGAGGAGGACGACGACGACGAAGGCAGGGGAGCAACATGGGGCTATAGGAGCCCCAGATTTGGGGATCCACAGCCTCCGGAGGAGTTTGGCTTCAGTTTCAGCCCTGAAGGAGGGATGCGTTTCCACTCTAACTTCGGCTTCGATGACCTAGTACGGGATTTCAATAGCATCATCAGCGAAATGGGAGCCTGGACCTTGCCTTCTCGCTCTCCTGGTGTGTGGCTGCACTTAAGGGAGAACTCATGGGTTTTAGAGGGCTGGTGGGTGACATAAGGAACATGCAGAGAGCAATTGAAGATGGGAAATATAAAATATAAAAACGCCTCAGAGAGGTTTAAAGAATCCAAGTCCTTTCCATCCCAGGTATTGAACGTCTACCTTCTGCAGAACTTCCAGGTCCTGAATTAGAGATACCTGGTGAGAGACGGTGGAAGGGAGAGACACTTCGAGACTCAATGCTTAAGTATCCAGATAGTCACCAACCCAGGATATTTGGGGGGGTTTTGGAGAGTGATCCAGGAACTGAATCCCCAAAACCAGCACCAGATTGGGATTCCCTGAGACCTTTTCATAGGGTGAGTAGTCCACCTTGGCCTGAAATGAGAACCTGTGGGAGACAAATTATTGTGTGCCCAAAGTAGAATATTTGTTGGGATCTCTATTTCAAATGCTAAACCCTCCATGAGCTTACTTACCCAACATACAGGATTTTCTTGGGGCGGGAGACAAGGAATGAGAGTTTTTTTGTCTCTTAGAAAAAGAAAAATCACTGGGTTTTGGAGAGAACAGGAAAGTATTGTGTCAGAAAGTCTCTGTAAAATAACCAGGAAAGGGAAAGAAGTGGTACGTAAAGAGAGCTTGGAGATGGTAGTTTTGACTTTGGTAGTAGTTTGAAGTCTGTGACTCTTCAAGGTTCAGGTTGAAAAGATAACTTTTCAACTTACTTGATTTTTTTCTGTAGCTTGATGATATGTGGCCTGTAACTCCCCATCCTAGAGCCCGAGAGGACAATGGTGAGTGTGGAAGGAGGGGACATTCACTAACCCAACTTTTCTCCCTTAAGTCCCTTATACTGTTCCCCTTCTATTACTTCATCTTTCTATCCTTCTAGATCTGGATTCCCAGGTTTCCCAAGAGGGTCTTGGCCCAGTTCTGCAGCCCCAACCTAGATCCTATTTCAAGAGCGTCTCTGTGACTAAGATCACTAAGCCAGATGGGGTAAGCTGGGAGAGAAGGGAACTGTGCCCAGGAAGTGCCCCAGAAACAAATTTATGTAAAGAAACCATAAACTCAGGGAGTATTGGCTACTTCTTTTAGACAGTGGAAGAACACCGGACTGTGGTGGACAGTGAGGGCCGTAGAGAGACCACAGTAACCCATCAGGAAGCAGGCAGCAACCCTAGAAATGGTAAGTAAAGAGTATGACTCAAAAGAGATCTGTTTCTTTGAAACTTTAGCATGTTTAACTTTTTCTTTCTTTTATCCCTGTCTTGTCTTTTTAATTGATTATATGACTATCTTCCCTAGGTCAAAAATCACCAGGATCTCCAGCCTTAGATGATACTTCTTCTATCCTGGATTTATTTCTAGGACGTTGGTTCCGGTAAACTTAACCCTCAGAGACCTTCAGGTCATTTTCATCTCCCACTCATTACCCACCATCACTGGGCTTAGCTTGTCATGCCACACCAGTGACTTGAGTGTATAGAACAGAGAATTGAGGGTATGTCAGTATGCCACTCACCTACACTGACCAATAAAACCTCTATTTATGATAATTCTTCAGTCTTGGTTTTGTCATGATTTCTTGATTCTAAAATGGGTTTGTGTTGGTTTTCTTTTTTCTTGCCCACTGTAGAGTCAGATCCAACTGGAGATTGCCCCTCCTCCAGCAGAGCATCCATGGATTTGAACCATGTGCCTTTGAGATTGCAGTGCAGCTTCTTGCCAATAGGCCATGAGAGCTCCCTTAAGGTTTCTTGATTTTGTCAAGGCTGTATCACTTTCTAAATTATTTTGTATTATAATTTACATTGTTTCACTTCCAAAACCTGGGGCAATAACTATCAATAATTCCCAGAAATTTATATTTTCCTTTATGTCTCTGTGTCTCTTAAAAATCTAACTTTTGAGGCCAGCACACCAAGACCACTGGTTGCTAGGGCCATATTATAGGTTTGTCCAAGAAGAAATAATTTTATAAGCTTTGTTAATAAATGGTTTATACATCTTAAAAAAATAATCTAGCTTGACATTGAAAAGATATCCTCTACACGTTTTATAATTTTGTTCTTTTCATTTAACTCTATAAATCCACCTGGAATTTATTTTTGGTTTGTAGTGTGATTCAGGGAACCAGTATAGTTTTTCCAACTTAAAGTGCTCTTTTTGACACTATGTAGTATCTCTATTTATATGCCATTTCGTGTGCGCGCGCGCGTGTGTGTGTGTGTGTGTGTGTGTGTGTACACACATGTATGGGAGGTCTGGTGGTTAAGGAGTTACACTGACAGTTCAGAGGCAGACGGTTTGAATCCACCACTTGCTTCATGTGAGAAAGATGGCAGTCTCCAACTCTACTGCCTCTTGAAAGAGTCAGCTGTGACTCAGTTCTGACTCAACAGCATGTAACAAGAAGACCTATATAGTTATATCTTTTGTAGTCATCTGTTTGTGCTAGTGTCACATTTCTGAAAGTTACAGCTTTATTTAGTAGGGAAAAAAATTATACTTTTGTTTCCAAACTCTTCTATTGTTAAGAATGCAATTGATTTTTTTTTTTTTTAATTTTTAAGAATTCTACTGTAAATGTATAGAAAAAGACGGATCTTGGCTGAAAGCAGAGAATACCAGAAGAATGTCTATCTGTGTTTCATTGATTATGCAAAGGCATTTGACTGTGTGGATCATAAC